GTTAATCTGACTCAGAAAGGTGAGAATCCAAAAATATTAAGTACAAAAAAGATGAATCTGGAATGGGTTAAAGAATATTTTTAACTGGGTAATCTTCATATCCTACATGGAATCCAATAATAATACTACCAAGTATGCCAGCATGTATTCTTGCTTACAAATTGTCAGAGAAAGAACACACTAACAGACACCAAACCCAGAATATTCCTAATTAATATTTTAACCCAAACAACCATGCCAAGACAAACAAAATTGCATATTAAATTAATTTGATAAAAATATGAAAAATCCAGAATTCTTACAAATAATGCATCATTAATGAAGCATGGTATTGAATGAAAGACCATATTCACCCAACAACTAGATGAAAGAAGATGGACACTTTGATAAAACACAACCCGGAACTTAAATGCTAAATAAAGGTAGAATCATTTAAAAACCTTAATTCTTCAGGTGAAACTTGTCGAAAGTGGGGTTTAACTAGGCCAGAAATGAAGAAACTGGGAGATTTCTTGCCTAAAAATGACGGGATTCCAAGAAGGTAGAGAAACATCGCAATCAATTATGCCATGTTTAGATCTTTTGATTGTTCAAGGAGAGAAGAAAATAAATAGGATGGCTGGTGTAGCACTAGGACTCCAGGATAAATACACGGTATAGTACAGAATATACGTGTGGTTGGGTGGGTGGTGGGGTTGGCGGATAAGTCAGTTCTATCTAGAGAGGTTGTGTTATAGGCTATATAGGTTGTCATGCACCGGTCAAACTCTCGAGGAGTCAATAAAAATTATAAATAAGTGAGTGTATTGTGATGCTTTACAAATAAGTGATTTTTTCTTAGCGAACTTATTTTTCAAATTTTTTAGTCTAACAAAGGGAGGCATCAGTTAAATTTAATGAATGATCATCAAACTTTACTTCATATTACTACTTGTTCATCGAGAGTTTAATGTACTTAAAGTACTTGGAAAGTTTAATGTACTTAAAGTACTTGGAAGACTCAGAGTTCTTGATCGGATAAGGTGGACAAATCGATGGACAAAGAGTTTCAAGAACTGAGTCAACTAACTAATTCATAGTTCGTAAGTGTTATTTACTTTAATTATTCAGACCATTTAAGGAGGGATTTGTGAGAGGGCCTTCACCACATTTCCCTCGATATGGATGAACCTTGGTTAGTTGGGGGAAACTTTAACGTTGTTACACATTGTAACGATCTAAATCTTCCATATGATGGAGGTCTTGGGTTCGAATCATGGGGGACGCGTCAGAAAGCCGTGAGGAGATAAGTGGGCAGAAGCCCACCTCAGAGCGGACAATACGCAAGCTAACGGCTTGGGTATAGAAACTTAGGTCGTTACAAAAAATGCGCGTTTTTTGTAACAAACTGGCTTCTCACCGGAGCCGTTATCTTACGTACTGTCCGCTCTGGGGTGGGCTTCTGCCCACTTATCCCCTCACTGCTTTCTAACGCATCCCCCAAGATTCGAACCCAAAACCTCCATCATATGGGAAACTCAAGTTGAAATCTGGTACCAATTGAGCAACTTGTCTAATTGGTACCAGGATTCAACTTAAATCTCCCATATGATGGAGGTCTTGGGTTCGAATCTTGGGGGACACGTCAGAAAGCCGTGAGCGATAAGATGGGCATAGACTCTCTCACAGGGGTAAGATGGATTGGGGTTTCATTTATTCTATATTAGAGGCCTTTGGATTTGATCAAATTTGGATCGATAGGATCAGGCGATGCATCTCGGATGTCATTTTCTGTACTCTTAAATGGCCACGCATGTGTTTTTTTCCCCTCCTCACGAAGGTTCAGACAAGGAGATCATATCTTGCCGTCATTACTCATTATAGCTACAGATTACTTCTCACGCTTGCTCACTCAGAGGTTTTAGGAGTATCCTAATTTGTGTTATCGACATGGAGGTAGTTCTCTTATCTTACACCTTTCATTCGCTGATGATATGATCATATTCGCCAACGATCAGAAACAGTCTATCAGGAGGATTTTGAGTTGTCTGAAGCATTATGATGGGGTTTCTGGTCAGTTGGTAAATAGGGACAATAGCTGACTCATACTATCCAGACGGGCATCTACTAGTCAGATCAGACGATTGGAGATTCTGACTGGTTTTCGACATTAACAATAACCTTTCACTTATCTGGGTGTCCCCTTGTTTAAGGGGACCAAAAAGAGCTTAATTTATGATGACCTTA